GAACCACATCACTATCGTTTATAATCCTCCACAAGTTTTTTGTTGCGTTTTTTGGTTGGTTCTCCAAAAACTTGTAACCGGATGCAAAATCATTGTCTCCGACATAAGGACAAGCAAATAGGTATGCATCACGAAGGTTAACATTCTCACCCACTGAATCGGGTGACGCAAAAATCCTGACGTACATTAAGATGGCTAAGGCCGCACCAAGACTATGACCAGAAAGCCAAAGATTGACTGGTTTATGTGTTTTACTATAAATTTCTTTTAAAAAAGTTTGATCCATTTAAACACATACATTTTTCATGTGACTGAATATGGATGATATATCTACCTGCAGCTTTTCTTTTTATAGCATCAGTCAATCTTACAGCTGGACATTGATTTTTAAATTTTACAGATTCGTCAGTGTTATCAGGAAAAAGAGAAGTGTAGAACCCTTCGTGAACTTCACCAAAAAGAAAAGGTCGGGCGTCCTTTTTGTTTTATAAGTAACAATTAGTACCAGTTCATAAACATACAAATAGAAGATTCAAAATCCATACCATTCGTTGAAAGCTAAAGTTTGTTAACCACTGTGTGAGAGAAAGCACATCGGATCCTTTAAAGGACAAGATAATGAAATTATGATATTCGCTCCTATAGAGGTGCAAAAAAAAAAAATAAGTACACTGAACAAAATTCAAATCGTTAGATATATCTAGACTGACCAGAAAATTCCCCCGTAAGGCCCACCCACGCTGTTACATTCAGTTAAAGATGTAAACTTTAAACCAAAATATGCCGCTTGTCTGTGAACAGGATCCTCACTTTTATCAACTAACTCGATAATCTGTTGAACTTCTTGAGTACTAGTGTTACTTTTAAGCTTGACAATCTTCTTGTAAGCTTCGGCGACCAAGTGTTCATCACGTGAATACAATATAGTAGATGTCCACAGTAAAAACTCGGCTCTGTTTAGATTAAATTCTGGAGAGTTTGGATCGTCCACATCTCTATCCAATGAATTAAAGCCTTTTCGTAAGTTTTTCTCTATTTACCCAAAATAATAATATCGAGTTAGTTCTTCAAAAACATTCATATACGACATACTCCTAAGTGTGTACTCCCAGATGAAGATCATAAAATATGCATTATTAAATACTACTGTATTTTTATTTATTTTCGTTCTCCTGTGCTCACTCGGGGCCTTGATTCTACCCTTAACTTACCAACAGGATAGCTGCTCAACGATTTCCACAGATCAATTGCATCAGCTTCGGTAGTTTTTGAAAGTGATCGGATCCGATTGGCTATTCTAAAGACAATTTCAACAAAGAAAAAAACAATCGCTAACACTGGAAAAGTGACAAATGTAAAAACAAAATTCAAAGGGTTTACAAGTGGAAAGGTCCAATTGAAAAATAGTGTAAGAAACAAATGAGTTATGAGGCGTCTCAAGAAAATGAGATAATTTAGAGGTTGATAAACAAAAGAAGTTGACACTGGAATGCCGAATTTTATTTGTGACATATCTTTGAGATGAAGACGTCTAAAGGAATCAATATTGAAATTTTTGTTATCCGTGACGGTAACAGAATCATCCTGGGGTATAGAATCAAAACTAGATTCT